CCACGCCTGGGCAGCCTGGCGCCAATGAATCCCCTCCGGTGTGTTTTGTCTTGCCACCAACGTGTCCATGCGTCTCGGAGCTGGGGGGCACATGAGGCCTGATGACCACACGGAGAATAGGTATAGATAGATCTCTGTGACTGCCCGGCAGCTCCGGAGTGCCAGCAAGGCAGCAATCACTTGACCAGGGGACACCAGCTGCATCAGTGCACGTTTGACTCTCTCTGCTGACTACTCCGCCGTACGTACATGTAATTCACAAAACCTCTACATCCATAATTAACTTCCCTATCGTAACCGATCAATCGTCGTCCCTTGCACTCCACAGAGAGTAGAGATGTAGAGGTTGATAAGTGATAACACGCTTTATTGGAGCAAATAACAAGAAGAGATTGGATTTCTCTTCACCTAACAGGAAAAGAGAAAGAGAGAGTTTGCTATCGGTGACCGATCACAATAGTGGTACTACTTCATGAAAGGCATATAGTGTGTACCACAAACGATAACGTTAGGACTTGGGACATAAAACACAAATTCCACGAGCGCAGAACACAACAGTTAGGTAGACCATACCTTACTCCAAGCAGGGCCACGCTGCTCGCGAAAAACCCTTCAAAATCTGAACGTATCGAGTATTTTGAGTGGGAGTAGCTTATCTATAAACTAATCCATGCACCAAATTGCTAAGCCCGGGTCGCTTTGATGATGTTATAAAGAGTCCAGGAGGTCTCGATCGGCCGCACAAACCGGTCGCCTTTCGCTTTTGTTGAGAATTTAATCCATTTTTTTTAATCCCTTTTTTCTCGATTGGTTAGGACTAATGTCAAGGATTATTCATGACAATCCTTAATTCTCATACTTTTCTTTTCGAGACCTGTTTAACCACTCAATGGATGGATCGATCTGGCTCATCAATTGATTCTGTTGGCCCAAACCTTACAATTTTTTAATAGTGTGGTGCACGGTGCACGCCTCTATGTCAGCGTATAGCTAGGCCTCCGGTGGTTGCACCATCCCTCTCTGACCGAGTTTCTTAAATGAGGGTTAAGTATTCTGATATCAAATTGGCAACTTACAAAATATTTATTAGGCATCTCCTTTTGAAAAAAAAAACTGGGGCTAGGAAAAAGGTCTAGCATCTTGCTTTTCTCTTGAGTCTTGACGCCAATGGTATACCTACCTTCAGAGATAGGGTTAGTTTGTACAGGCAGTAGTCAGTTCGAACCAGTAGTAAATTAATCAAGAGATTAGAGAGCTAAGAGCTTTCATTACTACGAACCGTACGGGGATATGGTTAGTTTTCTTTGTTGTCGCCATAGTTTTTAGCTACTCGGGTCCATCCTGATCATTGCCGTGGTATCATATATCAGTTCGATGTCATGGTATAGTACTTATAACCAGGATCGTATCATACAATGGCCACTGGGGTTAAAGGTCTGAACTTTTCGGTTTGCAGTAAACAAGTGTTCACGCCAGTGTCCGGAAACCTACGGATATGATGACTCCAAGGACTTAAAAAAAACTTTGCTGCACTCATAATTGTGTCTTCAACATCTTTGCTGAATTCTAGCATGGTATTTATGGTTTCCCTTTATTACTCATTGCTAGGGGCCTCACCTAACAATGGTGATCAGCAGTACTGACCTAGTTGATGGCTTGTTTTTTAGCAGTACTACCAATGGAGTTAGGCACTTTGGTTATTGCCAATTTCTCTCCTGAATCAGATTAAACTCTGTATGGATCAGAAATGGGCACTGGATCGGTAGTGCATACCAAAGTTTTTGTGTTTTAGCATGGTAGGTAAAGACAAACATTAGGAGCTCAAATATACTAGTATGACAAAATGCCACATGCAAATATGCAGATCTGTAGTACTATAAATCTGTAATCAGTAGGAGTATCACCTTATCCACTGCTTGTGCTTGTCCATCTGAAATCTGAACTTAATCTGAGGGACAGCCTGTCAGACATGGCCCATAACCTTTTGATGCATATCTGCACTGAAGATGGGCCATCGTAATTCAACGGTAGTTTCTGCAGAGTTTTGTGAGCTAGTGAAGCAGCTAATATGTTTGTTTCAGCTGTTACTGTGCCTGTAAGCCTGCAAGTTCAGGCTCCTCTTCTTCATTGAATTGAGCTCACGCAATTCATCCTTCGGAATTCAATTGCCACCCTAGAACAGTTTTGAAACCTTATAAATTATTTGACCAGAAGTACAGTGTCCATGGGATTCACCTGTTCATGTCCATGGCTTGTTTTCAGTGTGTTCATGGCTTGTTTTCAGTGATCCTCTGCTTGTTACCGAGTCCCTAGCCCTGAACCTTGTCATCAGTGTGGAACCGGTGAGTGGTCATTGTTGAGGAGAGCGCCGAGCTCAGCAGTTGCCATTAAAAAGACAGGTCTTTGTCTTCCCAACCATTCAATACCAGGGTACCTTGTTCTTAGAAGGGTTAGCTCACTAACCTGTTGGACAAACAGAAAAAGAGCAGCACTAACCTTTAATAAACCAGATTTGTGGATAACTCCCGCTGATCCAATTGAATAAACCAACTGTGTCATGTTAACATGTACTCCCTCCATCTCAAAAATAGACAAACCCTGGAGTTCCGTGTCTAACTTTGACTGTCTGTCTTATATGAAATTTTTTTATCATTCGCATTTTCATTGTTGTTAGATGATAAAATATGATTAATATTTTATGCGTGACTTGTTTTTTTAATTTTTTTCATAATTTTTTTAAATAAGACGAACGGTCAAATGTTGGACACGGAAATTAGGGTTTGTCTTTTTTTTTTGACGGAGGGAGTAGACAAAAGCTGATGAGATATTACAGCTGAACAATAATAGTTTACTTTGCTGTGCACATGGAATTATATGTTCTTTTTCTTTTTAGTTTCTGACAGAGCAGAGTGTCAGGGCAAGCCAAGTTCTTGAATTAATATACGCTGCATTTGTTGCTTGGTTCGGCAGCTACATTGCTTGGTCGATGATTTTGGGTGTGTTCTTGCAGAAAATGGCTAAGCAATGTTTCATGATGGATAGTTCTGTTAAGTGTTGACCGACATGACAGAACATACAGAAATTCTCAGTCCTCTCCTGCTTGAGCAATGAGCTGGCACTGCCGACAACTAGTGCCACTGGCTATATGTGTGCATCTGATTGGAGCCACTCTAAACAAAATATCACTTAAACTAATCTAAGTAAACTAGTGGGCAAGCGAGCACTAGCATATAGAAATCACAAGCACAATGCTTCTTTTAGTAGCAAAGGGACGTTGATCCATCACTTCACCCATTTCCAACCTTGCCATTATTAGGCCATCTTTTGGTTTAATTAGACTGAGGTTAGCTTTAAATTGCTCCGAAAAATTTCATCTCAGCACTTTACATAACAGGGTCATCTACAGACTACAGTCTATAGGTAAGAGTAAAAGTTGTAAAGGCTGTGTTTAGTTCACGCTAAAAATAGTAGTTTGGTTGAAATTGAAACGATGTGACGAAAAAGTTGAAAGTTTATGTGAGACCCTGTTTAGTTCTAAACTTTTTTTTCAAACTTTCAACTTTTCCATCACATTAAAACTTTCCTACACATACAAACTTCCAACTTTTCCGTCACATCGTTTTAATTTCAACCAAACTTCCAATTTTGGTGTGAACTAAACACACCCTGGATAGGAAAGTTTGATGTGATAAAAAAAGTTAGAAGTTTGAAGAAAAAATTGGGATCTAAACACGGTGAAAACTAATGTTACACTTAGGTGGTGTTCAAATCTCCTGAAGATGAAAATAAAGATAAAGATTAAGTGTTTCATGCAAAACGATGTGGTAATAATGTGTGATTAATTAAGTTTTAATTATTACAAACTTGAAAAATAAATTAATTAACTTTCATATAGAAAGTTTTCGCATGTAACGTACCATTTAGTAATTTGAAAAGCGTGTCACGAGTATTCAAAAGTTTATTAAGACTGTTTCATAGATAAAAAAGTTCAGGCTTGTGTGCTTCTTCAGTTCCACCGGTTGCAAAGTTGGCAATAGTAGGGCCGTATTTTAAGGATACAATGGATTTTAACCGTATCGCAAAATCTGAGCATTTCACTTAAAAAAGAACTTAATTTCAAATGGTCATGATCAAATCCCTACTTGGAAAGGTTCTACTATGATGACACAGTTGGAGCCGTTCCCACGAGGCAAAGAAAAAAAGAAAGAAAGAAAAAGAAAAAAGAGCATTGATCACACGCGAACCTAATAAAAGGAATCAATCATAATATGGTTGGCTCAACGTAGCAAGCAAGATGAGGCATATTATCGGGCACGGAACATTGTGATGTGACAATTGCACAATACATACTGTATATAGCAAGCTTCGGTTACTCGCATGTTCTTATTTAGGATCAGTTAGGCTGTGCATGTGGTGTGCATAAGAGGAAAAATTACTGATTACTAGTATTAAACAAGAGTTTAGTGTCGCAGCTCCAATATTACACTTAACCGACTGTTTCATTGAAAAGTAAAAACAATGAATTTAATAAACCAAAATAGAGCTTTGTGTCATTTTTTTGTGTGCTTTGTTCATAGAATTACAATGGATTCAGAATTCCATGAACAAATGCAATCTCCTGACACATCAAAACCAAAAAAATTCAGAACTGACTGTACCTTCAAAATTTTGACGGATGTCACCCGAGTACATAGGAATCAGGTGCCAATTAACAACCCACGATTAGATGGAATCACGTTAATGTTTCAAAACTTCGATGATTTGGCTGATCTTGTGGAGAAAGCATTGCGCGTTCTAGCGATTTCGCAGTCGCTACGAACAAATAATGCACGATTAGGTCTAACTGATTAACTCTTAATTTTGCGTCTCAAGGGCTGAATCATCAGATACATCAAACAGCCTAATCACAGCGACTAATCCCTCCGCACATCGCTGTTAAGTATTAACCCCTTCATCATTAGTGGCGCCCATGGCGTATATAAGCCGCTCTTTCCCCCACCCTTATGGCGATTTTAAAAACCCAAAAGCAACTCACACCGGAACAAAAACGAGAAGCCAGCGAAGAGGCAAATCAAATCGAATCGCCCAAAGGAGGCGACGAGCCACCGGCTGCAGCCTGCAGCGGGAGAGGTCTCAGGTGCGGGGGAGCAGAGGCCTCGTCGGCGAGCGCGGGGACGCCCCATCGCGGTGCCCCACCGCCGGCGAACGGGGCGTCGCGGGGTTCGGCGGGGATCCCGCCGTGGAGCGGCGGCGGCGGCGGCGTCGTAGCCGGAGCACTCCGATCGTGGCGAATGTCGGTGGGGAGAGCCGCGGTAAGGTCCCTGTCTCGGGCAGTGGCGCGCGGTTGGTGGGAACTGTGTGCAGTACAGTTGCTAAGCTTCTCAATCACTTCTTTTTTTTTTCTCGTGAGGGGTGGCTTCTCCCTCTTTTCCTGTGCGTAGTACAGACGCGAAAACGTCGGCCATGGATTTTGTGAGGCTTGGTGTTTCTGTTGGATTTCTGTTATTGTTGTTGTTGTTGTTCTCGTTTGAGTAAATTCACTGTGAGGGTTCTATTGGATAGAACAGGAGTATGGTTTGTTAAATTTTGATGCAAAGCGTAGTGCTGTTCGATTTACGCTTATGTTTTTTCCCCGATGCTCTTGCAGAAATCGCTTCCGGCGTGGAGCTGTTGCCTGTAGGAGATGTGGAGATTGGGCATTGGAGTACTGGAGATTGAAGTTCTGCGAGGGTGATTTGCTGCTGTGAAATTGCTGAAGTTTTGGTAAGAGATTGGGAACCATGGATTCACGGATGGATCAATACGAGGTTATGGAGCAGATTGGCCGTGGCGCCTTTGGTGCTGCCATCCTCGTGAACCACAAGACCGAGAAGAAAAAGTATGATATGCGTCTCTATTCTGTTTAGCTGTAAATTATGTTTTCCTTTTAAGGAGGTAGTTGACATCTGACTAGCTTGCAGGTATGTGCTGAAGAAAATTCGGCTCGCGAGGCAAACAGAGCGCTGTCGCAAGTCTGCTCATCAAGAGGTCAGTGAAAATCAAGAAACCTTGGGCCCTTTTCGTTCATCGGTTCATGCTGCATTGAACAATTTAAAAATATATGCAGATGGCCCTTATTGCTCGCCTGCAACATCCTTACATTGTTGAGTTCAAGGAAGCATGGGTTGAGAAGGTTTGCTCTCGAGGAACACACACTTATACACATTTTTTATATTTTTTTTCAACTTTGTTTAGCTTATTTTGTGAGTTTTGACAGGGCTGCTATGTTTGCATCGTGACGGGATACTGTGAAGGTGGTGATATGTGAGTGCGATTTATTTGGTTGGGGCCTGGGGGATTAGTTTCTCGGCTACATTTTTAGTTGACTGTCGTCTCACTATAGTGTTTTCTAACAGGGCTGAACTGATGAAGAAAGCAAATGGAACATACTTTCCAGAGGAGGTGATCGCAACCTTTTTATAGCCCTTTTTCCGTATTCATTTAGAAATAGTGTGTAAAAGGGTACTAACTGTTATGAATAACACTCAGAAACTACTGAAATGGTTTGCTCAATTGGCATTAGCTGTGGACTATCTGCATTCAAACTTTGTTTTGCATCGTGACCTCAAGGTATGCTAAAAGATCAGTGATGCTTGCATTTAATTTATTGAGCAAGCAGTAATGTTTTATGTCCTTGTCCTTTTTTGCAGTGCTCAAACATATTTCTCACAAAAGATCAGGACATCCGTCTTGGTTAGTTTACCATCTAAATTCAAATAATTGTGGTATTGCCTCATTTTGTGCATTTAAATATCTCTGGTTTATTTGCAGGGGATTTTGGCCTGGCTAAGACTTTAAAGGCAGATGATTTAACCTCTTCGGTAACCATCTCTTATGTCATCCATATTCTGTTGCTTACCTTTTGGAATCCTGCTTCTATATTCTGTTGCTTACCTTTTGGTATCCTGCACTGCATGGAACATTGAAACATATGTCGAATTGATCCCTATATGTTCAAGTGGAATATCATTATGTTAGCTAAATACCTTTATGTTCTCAAATTCTTATATTTTGGCATGATGCTTCTTAGGTTGTGGGAACACCAAATTACATGTGCCCAGAGCTGCTTGCAGACATTCCTTACGGATTCAAGTCAGACATATGGTCTCTTGGTAATATTCCCTTGCTCATATGGATATGTTTAAATGTGTGAATTTCTAACTGATATAGATATTTACAGGATGTTGTATGTACGAGATGGCTGCTCATCGGCCTGCCTTCAAGGCATTTGTAAGTTGTTAACAGATCATATTCCCCAGATCACTATAATTACCTAGAAACAGTTTCTTGGCATGCCAAGGATGATTTAATTCTTATCACTCATTCTTTGGATATCTGTAAATTATCCGCCCATGGATATTTTAATGTTAATACAAAAGCAGTCCCATTTCTAATTAGTGCCACCTATCTTGTGCTCCTGCTTTTTTTTTTACTTGTTGACTTGTCATTTTTGACATCAACACAATCTCCAATACATAACGTCTTTCATGCTCTTGGAAAACGTTCAAAATATAGTGTTATCAAATTTTTAATAAGAATCGGTAGTTCTAAACGTTGACTTCATATATCCTAGGATTAAAGAGAATGGCCGGATTACACAAACTTCACCAGTATATAGTAAATTGATTATTTTTTATGTGCCATGCAACACGTGTGACAAACCAAATTGCAATCAAGCAAACATGGCACTATAGATTGATGGAGATCAGGTGCACTTATTAATGGTGCAGATGGTTCCTAATGACGGCCCTAATAGAACGGTGCTATTTGTATTTTACTGCTTATATTGCTTCATTTAAGAAGTAAAAAAAGCACTTAAAATAAAGAAAATTAGACTCTTCCTTCTGAGGTGTGGTGAACTCTGGGCTGAAGTCAGTCACTATTATGTTAGCAAATAGTGGCTTTTGCAGGACCACTTATCCTTTTTCCTCCTCTCTTTATCTCTGTGCATGTGAATTTTCACACACATGCCATGTGCCATTTTATAAGAGAAGGGTGAGTTTCTTTTTCAGGTTCATAGCATATTGGATCAGAGTTCTTCATGATCCATCCAGGAAATTCATTTCTGGACTTATGTGAATGATGTAGATCTTATATCTCATGGACTTTCAAATTTTATTTGAAGAGGTTTACTACTCTCTCCTAAGTTCGAATATTTTGCTTCCAACTAAATCCATATGCACTTATAATAATTCAATTAGAAGTACTGTTTGAAAACCTTGATGAAATTAGTAGTCTTTGCAGGCAATTTTTGTCCGATACATATGGATGTTTTCTTAAAAATATATATTTGTTTTCTTCCGTAGTGTTTACCAAATTGATGGTGTTTGACTCAAAGTTGTCAAAGTTCAGTTAATCTTAAGTTTACTCCCATGTTTGTTTCAGGATATGGCTGGACTAATTAGTAAGATAAATCGCTCCTCCATTGGCCCTTTGCCTCCATGCTACTCTCCATCTATGTAAGTGCACATTCACTATATCTGTATTGATCATACATGGAGTCTTTGCTTTTTCTCATTTTTCTTGTTCATAAAATCCAATTTTCTTCATCGTCATATCCGTTGTTAGTTTCCTTTTGACAAACTAGCTCTTCCACGTATTGTCTTTCTCACTGTGTTCCAAGTCAAATGATAGATAGCAGACACAACACTTTTTACTCCACAAATTATTTCACCTTTCCATTGTCATATTGAGATGGGATTCTAGTATAAGGTTAGCTAAAATGGTCTCTTTGCTGTTGAATGCAGGAAATCACTTATCAAAAGCATGCTCAGGAAGAGTCCTGAACATCGGCCTACGGTTAGCTATTATGCACACAGAAACCTCCCTGCAATACTTGTTTGTTGCATTTAGTAGATTTTGACAATATCTGTACACACTTTGTAAACAGGCATCTGAGATTCTTAAAAGCCCATACCTTCAACCTTATGTTAATCAATACCGCCCATTTGCTGATATATCACATCCCATTCACTCACTGGAGAAACCCATTACCAGTTCACGGAGCAGTCAGAAAAGCATGTCTGGTAGTCAGTGTAGTAGTATTTCTGGAAGCGATATTGACAGTATACAGTCAAGTGAAAGGAACACATCAGGGCCATCTACAAGTTCCAACAACACGATTGATACTGAAGGTGCTGAAGCTACTGATCATGTATCAGTGAAAAACTGTTCAAGATCTGATGATGTTAAAAGCAATAAGGAAACTGTGGGTCCTGAATTAGAGAGGCAAGATTCATCTAAATCCATCCATGTTGATCAGCGGCCTAGAAACGAGATTAAGCAGCCAAAAATCATCAAGAAGATATTAACAACTCTAAGAGAAGAGAGCAAGCTCAGGCAAAATAATTCACCTATTAGAGCTAGCCGTGTAAAACTAAATTCACCAAGTAATAGAGAACAATTGTCTGATGATTCAAAGCATAGCAGTGACATCTCCTCCAGTTCAAAATCTAGTGAAGTGACATCACGAGAATCAGCAAAGGTCATCTGTGAACCTGTGAAACGGGCACAAGCATCTCCTCCTCTGAAGCATTTGGTGAGGATTGCTCTTTTTCTTGTGCTAAACTCACTTTGTTTGTGTTGCTAATATTTTGGTTACTGTCTTGCAGTCCCCTATTGTCGAACATTCTCCAAAAGCTAAAATTAAACAGGATGAGCCGCTGCAGCCAGACCCTGCCAAGCAGGCAATGGAAGATGTTGATGCAGCTGTTGGAAAGGTCAAGAACAGGACACCACCAAGTTATTCTAGACGCCTTAGTATCCCCCCTCGTAGGCCACTGGGAGCAGAGAGTCCACTTCATGCTGACACAAAACGAGCTCACAATAAGGTCATCAAGGAGCGTGCAAAAAGTCCTTGTCGACCTGTCCATGGTCCAGATAATGATATCATTGAGCCTCCAGGTTTTCCAATGGCTCCCCCAAGTCCTCTTGGGGGTGTTCAAATGAAAGTTGGCAATGCACGGGCAAAATCTGCTCCACCGAGGGCTGTATCTATCAAGGAAGACAGCAGTGATTGTTCCAGTTCCACAATTGCTTATGCTGAAAATACCGAGCTGTCTGAACCATCAAAACAAGATTCATCAGCCCAGTTGGTTTCATCTTGTAAGTGCTCAATCCCTGACGCTGCCATACAAAAACATGACCTAACAGCAATGCCTAGCTCGGAGCTAAACACCACCAATTTCCAGAAGAGTATGGCTAGTAATGATGATGTTTGTGAAAACTTAGCCTTGGAGCCATCTTCTGATATATCTGAGCAGGTGAGTATTTTCAAGGACAACGTGCCCTGCAGTAAGATATCACAGAGCACTGCCAATGCCATTGTACAGAATGATGAGGATAAGTTCACAGTGCAAGAATTGCTTTCATCAGTAGCAGATATTGCCCCATTTGTTTCAACGAAAAACTTCGCACTAGAAAAAGGATCCCCTCCTATTCAATCACTGGAAAGAACATCATCTCCCCATTTGAACCCTCCAATTGAGGATGTCATACATGTCATAAGACACAGCAGCTTCCGTGTCTGCGGTGAACAGGCAGTTGCAGAGAACGCTGAAATGGGAGTCCAAAGTTCAGATGTTGGCAAGCTTCTCAACGTGGTAAGAGAAGAGGTGGATTCGAGAAGCATCCCATCAAATAATCTTGTGCCTCACAGACTTCCTGATTGTGCTGCACCCAAGCCCAATATTTCGGAAACTAATACCATCAGCTCGAAAACAGCCTGTTCAGATGTTGTAAAATTTCTTACTGTCCCTGAAGTAAATTCTACTACTACTGCTATCAACAATGGATTCAAGGAGGAGGCAAGCCCAACGAAGGAAATTCTAGATGTCAAGTCTTTCAGGCAGCGAGCCGAGGCCCTTGAAGGACTCCTGGAGCTTTCTGCGGATCTACTGCAACACAATAGGCTGGAGGAGCTTGCGGTTGTTCTAAAGCCTTTCGGGAAGGATAAGGTATCTCCTCGAGAAACAGCAATCTGGTTGGCCAAAAGTTTTAAAGGGATGATGAATGATGAAGCGAGTCGCAGTTCAATGTGAGTACATATAATACCCATATAAGGCCATAACATTAACCTTTTTCCGTTGTTTTTGGTTTGTGCTCTGCATCTCGAATTGTTGCTTGATCACATCACCCTTATTTACATCGTGTGATCCATTGGTCCCATGTTTGCGTCTTTAGTTTTCATTCTTTACGGTACATTTTGTAAATAGTCCAGACTCTTGAACAGAAATAAGACATGTCAAAGTATGATGTAAATTTATATAATAATCAAGCTAATGAAATGACTGGTTTGATCCAATGTTTCTTTGCTTGTGTTTGTGAAAACTATCCCAAAATCCAGAAAATATGGTTTCATGTACAGATCATCTGCTGGCACTACCAATAGCTGTTATAACTCTTATTATCCCGGATGCAGCACAGTTGAGTAAACAAATTGCACTCATATCCACTTGAGTCACTTTTCAGACTAGCACAACACTTGTTTGCCAACCAAAGGTGCAACAGACCGGATAGGCTAGGCTAAACTGCATACTTTCCTTTGAGCACAAATCTCTCATTCCACAAGCACACAAGCCTTCTTGACTTCTTGTACTAACTGATACTACTCAGTATATTGTTGTACTTGACACCTTTGCGCAATTGCGGTTTCCACCATCCGGTACCAGCAGCCTGGATTTCTCTTGTCGCCGCCTGTTTGCTGGTACGAGCCTCGAAGAATTCGTCCGATTCTTGTCTTGCCTTAGCACATAGATATTGCATCAGCATCAGCATCAGCATCAGCCATCGACAAACGCCATCATCTATATCTACAGATGCTATCTATCATGTCACGCCACCCCCATCTGTGCCTCCGGCCATGTACTACTCGGGACAAGAACTCCATGTCGAGCACGGCGGCGGCGATCCTCCCCCGTACCCTCAGGCTCAGCCGGCGGCGCTGCATCCCCAGCGCCGCCGGCCCAGCGCGTTCCGCGTCCTGGTCAGGGCATTCATCGCCGCCTGCACCGTCGTCGTCGCTGTCGCCGTCCTCGTCTGGCTCATCTACCGGCCGCGGGCGATCCAGGTGGCCGTGGACGCCGCGACGCTCTCCCGCTTCGCCCTGAACACGACGGCGAACCCCCGGCCGGTGCTCTCCTTCAACCTCACCGCCGGCCTGACCATCCGGAACCCGAGCAGGCGGACGGCCGTCTACTACGACGTGCTGTCGGCGGATGGTTTCTACCGGGGGCTGCGCTTCGGCGCCGCCGCGCTGCCGCTGTCGTACCAGGGCGGGAGGCGCGCCGACGCGGTGCGCGCCGTGCTCGTGGGGAGCTCGGGCGTGGTGTCCTGGGACGCCGGCGCGTTTGGTGAAGACAACCACACGGGGGTGTTCCCGGTGACCCTGTGGGTTCTCGGCGCCGTGCGGTACAAGTACGGCGGGCTGATGACCACGTCGGCGACCATGCTGTCCGCGAGGTGCCCGCTCGCGCTTAAGCTCGTGGAGGCGTCGAGCAGGGTCGAGTGTACTGTGATTAGCTTCTGAGTCGAGCCTATTTAGTGATATGGAGTATTTGATCGAGAAATTGAGAGCGTATTTGATGGAGTATCCTTGTCGATCTTGGCTTGGAGTCTCTGAAATTCCAAAGCCGGACATGGGCGATCGTAGGCGTGGTGGATTGTGTCACGGACTCACGGTCACGGGGTGCGATCGTACGCGTCCGAGCCGCGGACTCCGAAGCGAAAGTCCATCAAAAGAGTACGGCCCACGTAGTGGAGGCCCAACGCCCGGGACTGCAAACCTGCACGACCACGATCCCGTTTAGTACCACCTCGACAACTCGAGCCGATGGGGGTGGGAGCGCTCCCTATATAAGAGGCGGCTGGTGAAACTTTGCAACATACTTACCTGGATGGGGTAGACGGGCGATCAAGAAGGCCCGTGGCCTAGATCAATGGCTCACATTGCACTTGGTTTAGCGCGTTGGTTTACCATCTCCCCAAGTGGGAGAGTGGACGTCATAATTTGTGGTAGAGGGGGTACGCGTTCGCGCGGCCCCTGCCAATTCTCTCAAATTAAAATTCTTGTCCTATCTTTTGCTATGAAGTCCTTGTTTGGCTTTAGCAAAATATTTTGGTTCCTAATGGAGAACAGGCCCGGTCGCCCGGAGATACGTGGATAACTGGCCCATTATAATCACACATCTGTCCAACATTCATCATCTTGTCTAGCTTTCTTGTTTTAAACAAAGTTGTGAATTTGCGATTTTGTAATTCAGATTCGTTTGACAAATGACTTAGTTGTAGGATTTTGAAGACAGATATCATGATAAATTTTGTCATTAAAAATAAAAGGAAGATAACATAACTTAGAGATTGAACCGGAGTGAACTAGGGATTGAACGCCTGATCCGCGCATGAAAAATCCCTGATGTGACATGCATTTTAGTCACTATTATTATTATCGCGTGGGTACTTGTCAAAGAGTATACTCTCCGTCTCAATAAGAGGAGACTCATATCTCATACTAGGTTAAGGTTTTTTTTGGACGAAGAGAGTATTGTGCTAGTGTATTGCATGCATGTGGACCCTATACTCTCAGACCCTGTTTAGATGGGACTAAAACTTCTAAGTCCATATCACATTGGATGTTTGGACACTAATTATAAATATTAAACATAGACTATTAATAAAATCCATCCATAATCTTGGACTAATTCGCGAGACGAATTTATTGAGCCTAATTAATCCATAATTAGCCTATGTGATGTTACAGTAAACATTCTCTAATTGTGGATTAATTAGGTTTAAAAAATTTGTCTCGCAAATTAGCTTTTATTCATGTAATTAGTTTTGTAAGTAGTATATATTTAATACTCTAAATTAGTGTCTAAATACATAAACTAAAGTTAAGTCCCTGGATCCAAACACCACCTGAGGTGCTAGTGTGCTGCATGTGTGTGGACACTATATTTTCTCTCTCCTCTCCTTAACTGCTTTGGTAACTATTTTTTTTAATCAAACTTTAAATATTTTTCATTCTAAATCATATATCGGATTTATAATTCGATTACACTGTTATATTCGATATAGATAAACCTTTATAATAAGATCTCATGTGAGTATATTTTAATAAAAAAATATATATGTATCAAAAAATATTGTTCTATCACTTATAAAAAAATGTTTCATCATTTGACCATATATGTCCCAACTCACTCCATAACATGTTTCAGAGATATGCAACATTTACAAAATATTTATTGTAACACCAACAATCATTGGACAAAACATTTTGCCCTAATGGCCGAAACATAGAAAAACTCCTACGAATATATATATATATATATATATATATATATATATATATATGCAAATACTTTATTATCTTGAAATATTTTTTTATCACGCATAAGTTGTAACCGTTGAATGTCACAGAATATTTACCGCAACATCCAAAAAGAATATTGCATGCAACATTTGTAAATGCCATAGTAAAACGTTAAGAAATACTTATCGAGACATCGAAATAATATTGTATGCAACATTACAAACAGATCTATTGAAAAAAAAAGAAGAATATTTTTCTCAAAATATGATCATGTGAGATCTTGTTGTAAAGATTTAATTGTAACAAATATAACGAAATAATCAGATCCTTGATCGGATGAATAGTTTTTGAGAAAAAGTATTTAAAGGTTGTTATATGGCCGCGTCAGAGATAAAAGAGTACCGATTTTTCTCAAGCCGCCAGTCGCGTGGGCCCTGGGGTGGAGTATTCTCCCGATTGAACCAGGATAAACTGTTGAACCAGATCAGATGGGGAAAAATAATTTAGTAATACGCATATCGAAGGCTTGCTTGACTTTCTCATAGCTCAAGCTTTTCAATAAGCCGACAATGAAGGGTGCGAATTCTGAAAATGTTTGTGAATCTGAGCTTACTAGCATCAGTGTAAAAATGGTTGTTTATGCTCAAAAAAGGTAAAAAGGCTGACCTAGTCTTGGTAGGAAAGAACACAGGAAGAAGCACGCGCGCAGGTGGTGCAAACATGTACGCCTCAAAGTTGTGATCCGCGGTGAGGCAAGCGAAATTTCAAAGCCATGTCAGCCAGTGAATAAATGGACGCGTGTTCCCTTGAAAATTTCCTTACCCCAACCTTTCAAGTTTCAAAGAAGAAAACTCCTCAGGTAGTGTCAGAATCCAGACTCCAGGAGCAAATCAGCAAACGCGTCAAGAACTCGGAAGCACACGCGCTTCCAAGAAAATTTCCACTGCGATCCTCTTCAACATCTTCGTTTCCCATCCGATCGCATAGCGTATAAATATCACCAGCTACCTGATTCATTATTCATCCATCACTCGTTCGATCTCTCCCATATAATTCTAAGCAGATCAATTGTCACAACTAGCTACGATCATGGCAGCCTACGGGAAGCCGCAGCCGCCGCTGAACGACGCGTACTACGGCCCGCCGATCCCGCCGCCACCGGCGGCAGCGTACTACGGCGCAGCGGCGCCTCCGCCCGCGCCACGCCGGAGCGGCGCGCACCGTCTGTTCTGCTGCCTCTTCAGGGTGCTCGCCGTCGCCGTCATCGCGCTCGGCACCGCCGTCCTCGTCCTCTGGCTCATCTACCGCCCCAGCGTCGTCAAGGCCTACGCCGACACCGCTGCGCTGTCCCGCTTCGACCTCACCAACGGCGGCAGCCTCCTCGTGTACAACCTCACCGTGGGCATGCGCGTGCGCAACCCCAACCGCTTCGGCATCAACTTCAGGAGCGTCGACGCGCAGGCGTCCTACGACGGCGACCGGTTCGGGTACGCGCCGCTGCAGCCGTTATACGTTGGTCGGAAGAGCGACGCCAGGTTCGACGTGACGCTGAGCGGCTCGGCGGCCATCGACGACCGCGACGTGGAGCGCACATACCGGAGGGAGACGGCGCAGGGGTCTTACGAGGTTAAGGTCAGGGTGTACGCTAGACAAGGATTCAAGGTCAGGGGCTTCAGGCTGAACAACAAGAGCAAATTCACCTGCACGCTGAACCTGCCGGCGCCCAACTCCGGCAACGGCACCGCGAGCGGGACGCCGACGACGGTGTTCACGAGGAAGCAGCCGAAGTGCGACGTGGACTATTGACGTGTTCGTGTCACTGATACGACATGGAGGCATGATCGAACTCCTCGGCTGGGAACGACACGACACAGTCTGCCATGCTTTATTTAATTTGTTCAGCTTGTAGAAAATTCTTTCGAAAACATGTATTTGTATATGCACGAATGAATAGATGGAGCTATATGTATTTATGCACGAATGAATTGATCGAGCTAGCCGGGTTTTTGTGCCGCTATTAAATTCAGAAATCTTACTTCAGAAACATCAAAGCGGGAGACAGAATCAAACGGAAGTCTTTCTTTCTTTCTTTTATAGTAACCACCTCTTTATTTATACGGGGGACTCGGCGATATCACGAGTCACGAGGCGATTTACAAAAGCTGGGAGGGGATCAGTCCAGACATCAGACCAATCCGGGTCCCTACTGGTACACAAACGAGCCAGTTCATGAGCACACCGATTACAGCTACGATGAACATAAGAGAAAATAACTCTGACAAAGTTTTTATGAATAAAATCCTTAATCTCCTTGAACAGAATTCCTCCCGGCGCATGATCATGAGCATTCGTCTGGGGACGTTTTACGGTGCCCCCCACTTATGTGTATAGTAGTGTAGTAGGATTATATCTAACCGTTAATTGTCATGGGCATTTTAGTCTTTATATTTATTTCGGTGGAAGGATATTTCGGTAATTTCGCGTTCGCACAGTATTCCTCATCGTTTCTCCCGATCCCCCACCATCTGTTGATTATGTTCGCCGCCTCCATCGCCCTCATCCACCAAACCGAGCGCTCCGCCGGTGCCGCTGCCACGCCATCCCTCCACCGGAGCGCCGAAAAGCCCTCGTCGTCCCCCTCCACTCCCGTCCACCTTAGTCATCAAGGTCCGGCGCCGACAAACCACGTGGCCCCTGGCGCTTCATTGCCCCTCGCCGGTCCCTTCGCTTTCCCCCGCCGGACACCTCGCTGCCCCACGCCGGGATTCTCGATGATCTCCCCAACGGCCGCCTGCCCTCGTTTTGCATGGAGTCGCCGACCCTCGTCTGATTTGGAATCGGAGTCGTTGCCACCTCTCTATTTTTATTCAGGTAATGCAGCAGCTGCTCAGCAAAAAACTTTAGGAAGGCTTCTTTTTGAGCAAGATTATCCATTTCCCTAATCGATTAATTACCGTCGTAGTTTAAGGTCTTCAGGATTTGCTAGCTGCTATAGAATAGAGAAAGACAGGTCTGAAGTATTTGCTATTGATTAGAGGAATACAGGATTGTTTGAATGGTGTTTGATCTTTGCTGCGATTACATAAATACAATAATGTTTGAATGGTGTGAACTGTGCTAGATTAAATTTGATGCTATATATGCTATTAGATTGGAGTTATTAGCTGTAAACTTATAGCTTGATGTTATTTATGAAAACAGAAATTGTCAGATTCACAATGGAGTGTAATCATTCGATTATTGGGAATGTAGTTGTGTTATAAATCTATATATGGGTATAATTGGTTATAGGAAATTAACCCTGAACTTACCTGATCAGGTGCATATATGTAGCCCTTAAACTGTGATTTACTGTATACTTCTGCCATCGCTGTACACATAACAGCCGTATAAGCTTAGTATACTAGATGACTCTAAATGTGGAATTTTTAAGATTCATCATTTGCCCATATAAGTACATTTTGGTTGTATTAAATTTTGTGGTTTGACTAACAGTTGAACTTTGGAAATATGAATTGCAGAAATTTGGAATGGCTGACAATCACATTAGTTTGGAGGAGGTTGCAAAGTATAAAAGTGTGATAACCAAGGAGTTTAGAAGCGAGGCAAAAGGATATAAGTTCTATAATGATTTTCCCTTTGTTGATATATTCTTGAAAACTAGATGTATCTTTAGAGTTACAAAAAGGTGAGACTTCTTGTGATTTTGTAATTACTGTGTAAGTTCCCCATGCACTGTTTTTCAACTTGGGCTTATATAATTTACATATGATGGATGTTAAATTCAATGTTTTCTAAAAATTATTACACAGTCTAACTGCATCATATATTTCCTATGTTGCAGCAGACGAACAGTTGATATTGCCATCTCTGAATTCATTGTCGCCAGGAGATCAGTTGATGTTGAGAATCTCTGCGAGGAGAAGAAATGAAGTGTTTTGCTTTGGTTTCGAATTCGTTGCAGTTTCTGTGATTCAGATTTTCAGTATTACAGAAGGCATGGAAGTGCATGAAAGTAGGGAAGAGGATTTTGATCCCTCGAGGGGATATCCCCTCGAGGGATTAAAACAGTTTCCCTGAAAGTAGTCGTACTGAAAATTGCATTGGTGGCTCATATTTTGTTCTTCATGATTACACCTTGAGATTTTTGTACCCTCAAATTTAACCGTAGAAGAAATAAAAGGGTAAGGTAGTTTAAATGTAATAAGATCACAATTCTGACAGTACTGTATATTGCACTGCTAGCTTATAATTTTTTCCCCCTTCAGTTCATTGCCCTGTATTTTCAAAACCCATGGAAATTGAATTTCAGTGCTCTGAATTCTCTTCTAAAAACAGAATCTAATATGCATTTCACTAACTTTTGCGCTGACATTTTTTTTTTACCGAAACGGATGGCAGGAGCTTTGGCCATTCATTTCAGATGGACTGGGAATAAAACTGTAAACTTTTAACTTTTGTTTGTCTGTTTCATGAAACTGGGAAATGCACATCTTCATGCGAAATTAAGAGAAGAAAAAAACCGCGGCAAGAAACAATGGCACGGCCTGGAACTAATGCTCTGTTGATCTCAACACTGTTTGTAGTTCAGCAATGTCCAGGAGCTAACTAATCCATGAAATTATTGTTCACACGAACGCTGGTAATTAATCAGTAGCGATCTGGTCGAAGATAAAAAAAAAAATAACGATCTGGTCGCCGCCGCCGGCCTTTCCTCACGCCGCCGCAGACGCTGGTTAATCTTCCCCAAAACACATCAAGAAATAAACAGGACGGCCCCATCGCAATATATGTGCAATTACGGATTACACCCTCTCTTAGTGTTGAATTACAAGAATGCCACAATAATTTTTTTCAAAATTATCCTTCTACTACACTACTACAGCCCTATACTAGATGTAGTAGTAACGAATTTCCACCCTTAGATCTCATCTCCTCAGCGGTATATATCCATCCAAAGGTACACTAAAAAAAATCCTTCGTCTGGATTGCTGTCACCAAAATCTGTGAATCAGTCTAAAAAGAAGAAGGAATCAAACGGACGAAAAAACTGTTAATTCGAAATGGCCCAGTTAAAATGACCAATTGTATGGGCTAGCATGGCCCAGTGAGTTGACAACACCCACGTATCATGGTGGCCCATGATCATGGTCCACCTCGGTGGTCCTGTTGTAGCCCAGTAGGTAACTATTATGTTTCAAGGAAAAAGTCTATACTTTATCCTTCAGTTATAGTCGGAGTCTGATTTTCATTCCTCGACTGTAAACCGGGTATAACACATTCCTAGTATCAATATTGACTTATTTTGCCTCCCCGAGAAATTTTGATGGTGGTTTCACCTGATAAGGCATTCTCTTAGAATGGTTTGCAATGTAAATATGTAATCCATTGGATTTCATGCAAAATTCTTTATAAGTTTATCCCGAAAACTTTCCAGTTCTTCTACGAGACAGACTTTACTGAACTTGAGGCATTCATATCATTGCCAATATTAGAAGCTACGTTCAAGATCAAGACAATCTTTCCACTAGTTCGTCTGCATCAAACGGCTCAATGCATGATGTGATCCACAGTTGTCTTGCATGTGCAGTAGATGTACAGTATAAGAGCATCTCCAACAGCCTCTCTAAATCGAACTCTCCAAACACCCATATAGCTAACTTCCCATCTTATTTAGCTAGTCAAACTAGATACTCACTTCAACTGACTCTCTATTAATCATCTTCAAAATAATAACGGACCCACATGTCAGCCTATACTCATATTCTTCTTCTCTCTCTCTCCCCTTCTTCCTTCCCGTTGCCGACGGCGGCCGCATGTGGTGGTGCTGCGACACGGGGAGGCGGGCGGCTGCGCGCGGTGGTGCGGCGACGCGAGGAGGCGGGCGGCCGTGCGCGGTTGTGTGGCGACGCTGGGAGGCAAGAGGCGAGACGCCGGCGGCTCGCGACAACGACCCGGGGCGACACTCGAGGCATAGCTCGGCGCGGCGGCTCGTGACAACCTCGACAGCGGATCTAGAGGGGGGCGGTGACGGAGCTCGGCGGTGGCGGTGGCCGGCCGCGAAGACGATGGGGTGGCGGTGGCCGGCCGCGGCGACGACGGGACGGCGGCGCCCTCGTCACTCCACATCTGACTCCGACGATGGAGGCCACAGGTGCGTGCCGCGTGGAGAAAGAGAGGAAACAGGCATGGGTCCCACATATGGCTAGCCGGCTTTGGCTGGCCAACTTTGGCTAGTCTGGTGGGGAATTTAGCCAGCCGGATGGCTTGGAGAGGCATTTGGCTAGTTTGTTGGAGTAGATTTTTTTTTGTGCAAGTTAGCCAAATTTTGACTTGGAGAGCTATTTGACTAGGCTGTTGGAGATGCTCTAACAGACGGTATGTGCCTCTTTGATGCCGTGCGTTGGGGAAAAAAAAAAGAAGACGTCAACAGTTGTGAAACAGGTGGGCCTGATATGCGCACATCTTTGGTGGGCTAGTGATGACATAGAACCAGGTTACTAGTATCATTTTGTTAGCGCTGGAAACAAAGACCGGCTCGTCAAACCTTAACTGTCGAAGTGTCAACCGTCAACGTACGCTGCCGGCCGCCTATTCCTCTCTGCCGCCCTATTCCATGCATCGAGCGTTAAACCGTTGCCCCTTTCAATCACCAGTTCACCACCCGCAGATCGTTCGATCCCCAGCCTCCTTAGTCCAACAACGCGCGCCAGTATCCCCTGAAAACAATAGCCGTGCACCCCCTGTTCCGCACTAAAATCCCACGCACAAGTCGTCGCGGGCGTTCTATACTTCTATCCATATCTCGGTCGCTACACGCGTTACATCCGTACGCTTCATACATATACTGCTCCTACCTAAGATCGATCGATCAATGCGCTTCTCAACAGGTAATGGGTGATCACGCAATGGCCAATAATCACGAGCACAAGGTGGACCACCTCGACCAGCCCTTCTACGGCCCGCCCGTTCTCCCTCCGGTCGAGCCGCTGTCCGCCGCCGCCGCGCGCCGCCGGTGCGTCGCCGACCCGTACGCGCTCTGCTGCAGGGCGATCCGCGTGCTGACGATCGTGGTCATCGCCGTCGGCGTGGTGGCGCTGGTGCTCTGGCTCGTGTCCCTGCCCAACGCCCTCAAGGCCTACGTCGACTCCGCCGAGCTCACCCGCTTCGAGCTCGGCGGCAGCGACGGCGCCAAGCGGGGCCAGCTGCTGCGGTACAACCTCACCGTGGCCGTGAGCATCCGCAACCCGAACCGGGACCAGGCCGTGCTGTACCGGCGGCTGGAGGCGGTGGTGCTCTACGGCGGCGAGAGGTTCGGGTACGTCGACTTCCCGCGGACGCGGCAGGGGCGGAAGAGCACGATGGTGATCCGGCCGAGCTTCGTCGGGCAGGGCGTCCTCGCCGGCGCGGCGGCGTTCGGAAGGGAGAAGGAGGAAGGGTTCTTCAACATCAACGTGAAGCTCCACATGAGGGTGCGTCTCAAGGTGATGGTCTTCGTGGACAGCGTCGAGTACAGGCCGGACGTGGACTGCTACATCAGGGTGCCCGACCCGAGCAACGCGACGGCGGTGGCGATGGGGTTCACGGCGACGCGCTGCCGTGTCGACGACTTCATGTGATGGACTGGACCCTGAAGGGTGCAGCATTGCATTGCACGTATAGGTGACTTCAGATTGTTCATTGTGTATATTATGATCTTCGAGACAGCAAAAGGAAGTTTTTCTTTTCAAACGAATTGAATCAAAAGGAAGTTTGATCGTCCATGACGAATTAACGATTGTGCAACTTTATTTAGTGTTGTGTTTAACTGCAGTATCAATGAATCAAATCTTCGGCTAAATTTCAACACTTGTGCTTGTGTGTCTTCATGGATAGAGGAGGATGGGAGACAGTTTTCTTTCCTCTGAAGCAGTCAAGCTTGGCTGGCTGGTGCCCTTAGTATCTGACATTTGTGGGGATCAATGCCATGTTTCAATGTGTAACCGTTTTATTTCTAGGTTATTCCTCTTTTAAAATAATAGAAGGTTTTATTAATCAACGAAAACATCTAATCTCTGCAGCAACAACAACAAGTACGCAACACTATAAAAGAGAGAAAACTAGACAACATGACATATCATGTTGCCTTGTGACACCTTACTAGGGCTGTCAAAAAAGCTAGAGACTCGTGAGCTGCTCGAGCTCGGCTCGAGCTCTTAACAAGCCGAGCCCGAGCCTAACCTCAAGCTTGTGAGCTTTTTCGAGCCGAGCTCAAGCTTTTCACGAGGCTAGATGTATATGTACTTTTATTTTTTATATGACAGACTAGTAGGTTAAAAGATAAATTAGTATACATTTATTTAAAAAATTAGTATGTGTTGGTATTATATATTAATTTTAAGTTATCTTAATCTTTTTATTTAGTATTATTAACTTAAATAATTAGTATTTATAATATAATCAAAATATACATTATCATATACTCGGTCGAGCTAGCGAGCCTAACCGAGCTCGAAGACGGATTAGGCTCGACTCGAGCTTGTGTCTAGCTCGAGCCTAGAAAGCCAGGCTCGCTTGTACTCGGCTCATTGACAGCCCTACACCTTAAACCAACACCTTAACAAGAAACTGTTATTTGCCCCCCATATCGTCTAAACCAACTTCAAGTCTGAGAGATTTTTATCCAGCGTTAACTCCAACACAACACCTACAATAAGCAAGTCGACAAACAAACACCAACATTATCGGATCGAGATAGGCCAAATTAAAATACGAGTATTAGGGCTTTCACCATATAGAGATCTTGCCAACAGTAACAATTGCTCCAATGCCACCACGCCCGCAAAAAGAGAAAAGCAACCAGAATAGAACTGGTCATGACTGATTGTGGCCGTTGAATCGTTCTTCCCAAAGACACTAGAGGAGACCACCCACGTTTTCATTTCCGAATTATTGCCATCAACCTCAGCAAATTGAACAACCGTCTAACGAAATGTTGCCTCCAATGGGACACCTCCGTCGAGTGGATGGAAAGGGCTTGATATCGAAGACCTAAGACTTCAGTGGACTAATCATCACTCATCACAGATTGCTAATTGTTGAGGAGGTGTACAGAGAGGACCAACGTTGTCTGGCATTGGCTAGATCCAATTTCTCATCGATTTGCCAAGAGGAGGAAAGAAAGAAAAGGATAAAATCCTCTTGGAAACCTTGGACGCCTTGCCTCATCAGAGCACCATTGCAGTCCTCAGAAGATTTCCTTTGTTTATGGTTGTTACCTCTATACAAACAACACCACTAACCGGTCACCTAGCCAATCACAATTCGAGGGATTGTAGTCACCGGATAAAGTACATCTACTCGCGGTGGATGTAGTTGAGGTGCCAAAGAGATCTCGGGGCCGCCACAACCCTGATGGCGGCTCCATGGGATGATATGTATGGAAAGGCCCAGGGGTTCTTAAAAAATGATATCATGTTGCTATGTAATATTAGAGCTTGTATTCTTTGTTAGCCGTGTTTGTATCCTTTGACGCGAACTATATTTTGATCGAGTTGGATCCTTTTTTTTCCTAAGGGGTGGATGGAAGTTTGTGACCCATTGATGGTTAATAATACTAGTAATCGAATTAGTACTTCTAGAATAGGCTGGGCAGTCAACTTTTGATGAATCCTGGCAATAGAAGAATAAAATTGGGAAGAATGAATACATGCCAATTTTTTGTTGTTTATGGTTGTTACCTGTTCCAACAACTAGATTTAGCATTTACATTATATTGCCCCTTATGAGATTAAGAACATGTTTGACATAGCTCCAGATTCCAGATCCACACTAGATGTGGACTTTATAAGTTAAATTAAAGTGGTTGAAAATTGTATGTTTCAAAATGATTCATTCAAATGTTATCAATACAATCATAGATCTAGATCCATCGATTTATGAAGCTAGAAATACCTAGCTACAAGAAATCCTGGATTTGGAGTTATGCCAAACCGGGCCTAAGTGTGCAGGATGATACTAAGTAGTAAATAGTACGATGATACGCTGTGCTCAATCCTCAGTGAGATTGTGTCACTCTATTTGTACTGAGGAAACATCTGCGACATGAAACTGGAAAAAAAATAATACTTCACAAACTAATATTGTGCCTAAGATGGAGAACAACTTAAACAACAAATAATCTATTCTTCATCTGTTAATCAGCATCTGTATTTTGTATGATTCGTATATCAAGCCTACTTTGGAGTTCCAATTTGTTTAAGAATCGAACCAGCTATTAGCAACTAACAACATGACAAGTAAATTTTTTTTGGTCGTTTTTCTGAACGAGCGAAAAGTAAATCTCAACTTTACACCGCGATGGACATCGTCTGGAGTGACCGGGCGTCTCTTCGGTCCGGCGACGCCGCCGGTGAGCAGAACGCCGGCGTGGTGATCGGCGTCGTCCCCTTCTCCGTCCCCTCGTCTATCGTGGACAGGCTCCTGGCCGGGCCCCCGAACATCTTCTTCCACCTCTCGAGCTCGCACTGGTCCGGCTCCTGGTCATCATCCTCTGCCTCGCCGGGTTGGCGCTCCCGCGACGGCCACCGCCGGTTCCTCTCCAAGGACGGCCTGGCCATGCGCAGCTGCTGGCTCTCCTTGTCATTGAAGCATATGCCGAACAGGACGAAGCCGCGGCTGGACGCGACGGACTCGCGGCGTCGCCACCACCGCCGGACAAGAACGGCCACGAGTAGAGACAACAGCGCGACGATGACGCCGGCGGTGAGCGCGAGGGCGAGCACCATGCGGGCGTCCTCCCCCATCTCTTCTCCTCCCCTGTTTCTCCAGCAACGCGCGGTTGTTTCCGCGGCTACTACTCCAAGCGAGGTTTGTGGAAGCTGCACGAGAATTGGACTATACGATGGCAATGTCCGATGAACCAGGCCAGAAGAAACGAAGTCTTTGCCGGTCGTTGTACAGCTAAGCTGCTAATGACAGTGAAAACGCTAGGTTTATTTGTGTCCACGAAAGACCGGAGCTGCGGTAAACGGTTCACCTGCTACTCCTACTCGTCCAGTTGCACATTCGACTGTGTTGCCGGCGGCTTATTCTGTTCGTCAGAAAATAACTTGCGATTTTTTTTGACCGGTTCCTACTTCAGATAATTTCTGGAGTAACTGAAACACCCAGTTGATTCTTTTTGAAATTGTTGTTTTGCTAAATTTTCTTCAGTTCTGAACTTCTGATTTCAGATGCAACCGCAACGTTCCGTCCGTCAACCAGCGCGCGGGCGGGAGCCGTCTTGCAAGACAGGAGTACTTGTTTGTACTACCTATACAAACGAATTACTACTCCACTGAACCTGCACGGAGAGTACGTTAAAACGTGGAACTCGGAGCAATTTCCAGGGCTCATTCATTTTAGCAGTCTTCAGATTGACCACACATATTCAGTCAGGCAGGACGCAAACCGGGATATCCTTCTCTGAAACAAGCCAAAAGTGGTCAAAACGAAAGAGATAGCACGCGCTTTGTTTAGTACACGGGCCCAAAAGCCTAAACTTTTATTTCGCTAAAAAAACAAAAACTGGCCCAGACCGTAAATTTTGATTTTAATGGAAGGCCTAAGCTGAAGACTATTGTCTCGGTCCATGACGGCCTTGTTTTTCATGGGCCAATTTAAGCCAATATTAACGGGCAGGAAATTTGAACTAAATTAGGTTGTAGCAAATCGCAAATGGCCCACGCACAACTGGTACAGTTCGTACGTACCGCGTACATACTCTTTTTCTTAGCATGTGTTTGTTTTGAGAGATTTGTTAGATTGGGTTGGGTCGAACTCATTTTCATGGTGGTTTAGTTGTAAGACTAGATGCGATGGATTGTCTTCGAAGGTAAATATTCTACTGATATCCAGATTCGGCTGACCCATGAAAATCTGGCACCGCACTGACCCAACTCTCCCGCACGGGTCACATCAAACGCACATGTCTCGCCACAGTATATATTTATAGAAATATATACAAAATAGCATGATACGAAGATACCATATTTATAGATCTAGTACCTACGGGGGTATCATATATGCTATCCGAGACAACATATCCGATACCTATGGTAACATGCTGACGTCAACATGATATATAAGTACCAGATCTTACGGGATATAATGTGTAGTACTGGAGGTATCATATTCGATACCTACAGTACCATGATGATGTTAGCTATCTCGTTACTATGGTATATCATTATGTAGTCTCCGTCATAACTTTAACCGTGCCCATGCGAGATGCCTCTGTGACCACGCGGACAATTTTTTATTATTTTTTGGGAGGGGGGAGGGAGTAATTAAAACCCCTTCTCTTTTCTAGGGTTATCCATTAATCTTATTCAAAATTGCTTTTGGTTGAGCTTGATGCTAAAGTAGTTTTGGATCGTTGAACTCTCTCTTTCTAAAATTCCTCTCATGCTATGCAAATTGAATCTTATAGTTGTGGATTTGGAGTTTGGGACCTAATGTGTGTTACACTCAATCTTCAGGATTAGGGTTTGTGCAAGGGTTGTGTGGTGTTTGTTACTTTTGAAGGTTGAAGACTCCGATGGTTAGGCGTTGCTCCCGAGTCACCGATCTACCTGTGATTGATGGAGGGAAGATTGTGAAGACCGGATCTCATCCCTGTAAGAAAAGAGATACCTCTAGTGATTTAGGATGAATGTATTTATGCAACATCACTATAATAGAGTTGAAAAAGACTCAGCTCTATTCAACACCACGTAGACTCTGAAAAGGGAAAAAAGAAGGGTTCCTGAGTACACCAGCACATAGTGTCGCATATATTAGTGCACTGCCCATTGCGAGTCGAGAATGAAATTTGCCCTTGACTTATCCTTAATTACTTCCTCCATCTCACTCGCTAAAGAGTGATTAAACTTGCTACAGTTTTCAAAACTAATTTTTAACTTTAGATTTCTCGTATATTATAATGTCTGTAACAACGAAATCATAATAATATAAAATTAAATGTAAATAACAATCCATTGATATTATTTTCATCAAATAAAATTTATTCTATAGTAAAATATTTACTGATTAAATATTTAAAGAGTTGGATTTTAAAATGTGTGTGCGTTTTAGTGAGTGGGATGAAGGCCTTGTTTAGTTCCCATAACATAAACTTTTCGTCTATCACATCGAATGTTTAGACATATGCATGGAGTATTAAATGTGGACAAAAAAACCAATTATATAGTTTACGTGTAAATTAATTGTGAGACGAATCTTTTAAGCCTAATTGTACCATGATTTGACAATGTGGTGTTACAGTAAACATTTGCTAATGACGGATTAATTAGGCTTAATAAATTTGTTTCGTAATTTCCTAACAGAATCTGTAATTCGTTTTATTATTAGACCACGTGTAATATTTTAAATGTGTATCCGTATATCCGATGTGACACTAGAAAATAAAAATTTTTGCCATCTAAACCGGGCCGAATTACCTACCACAACGCAGTTAAACAAACCTTCAAAACCATTTAAGTCTTCGAGCTGAAACGTCTGAAACCTGTGTACCACTAGCATTGCACCACTAGTCCACTAGTAGTCCACAGGTCGAACTGCAGATAGACACGCAATTGAATTGAATGCTGCACACACTTGACATTTCAAAATGGCGCGAAAGATTAACTACACCCTTCCTAGTGTAGGGTGTACAGCTAATTAAAAACCTGATCCCTATGACGAGACGATCTGAGTATTGAATTCTCTCCCTGCTTGGTCAGTGCATTGGGATCGATTAGACAGGTCTTAAAACCTCAACAGCTAGCAGATGGATGCATGGGCTAAACCAATTTGCTAGCCAGACCAGCTAAGCTAGCCCATGCAATGTGTGTGTAGTTACAGCACCCTGTTCCCCGCTGTTTCGTTTGAAACACACCCGTCATCGAGCTCCGCGAGCGACCTAGCCGACAGCTCCTTAAATTAACCACACGCTCGAGATCACCGTGCGATTCCGATGCAGTACTGACAAATGAATGGAGCCTTCTATTCTATTCTCCCTCTGAACTTCCAATTCATGCAGCATCGGCTGACGATTTAGAGCTTCGGGAAGATGCATATGCAGTGATATGGATTTGACTGCTCGCAAATGCCGTGTTTATGCCATGACCCGATTTGTGGAAGTACTACTAGTACATATCAGTACATTGGTTGAGTTAAACTAATCCCTAATTCAGATTTGCACAGTTAGCTGGCAAATTCTTCTGGATCCAGGAATGATTAGCGATTCCCTTGCAGCAGCAGCAGCTGGCCAGGGCGGTACCGAATCTTAGCGCATGCATGTGGCCATGATTAGGTTATTGGTGCCCAAGGTTTTTACCTCTCAGCATCAAAAGGAAGTTAGAAATGCACATGGAAAAAAAGGCGATCGGAGTGAACAATCCAAGGTAGCTACACTGGTGAAACTTATGTTCTGTCCAAGGTTGCTGCTGCGTGCAGCTAGCTTTTTCTTCCTTTCGGCCATGGAAAGGAGGACACAAAATGGTGAGCTCACTGTGCTGCACTGCAGTGGACGCCGCGAGGCGCGTGCACATGTACGTTTCCGGCAAGTCTAGCTATGTATAGGCGACTATGTATGCGGCAGAGATGAGAGTAGCTAGGCCGCACTCCATGCATGATCTAAGAGCGTGCAGTTCTATTGGACATAATTTCCCTCGAAGTGCCCAGCTGTGCCTGTGAGATGTGCACCTCATCAATGTTGTAGATTGTGTTCGAGATCTATCTCCCTTTCTCTCATTTATATGCAGAGATGCATGCAAGTGCTGCTGGACATGAACACTCCAGCAAATCGCCGTTGATATACACATCAAAAACGAGTTCTGCAAGTGCCTGACATGATGAGGCACCGCTAGCTCATCAAGCTTTCTCTGAACTCTGAAGATAAGTTCACATGAATGGAAAGGGAGGAAATCTATCCCAGAGAAGTGGACAGGCATGAAGGGAAATGTACCCCATACAGATGTAAATCCATACGAAGCAGAGTAGATTTATATGCTGTGCTGCTGTACACAGTACAAGCATCTGTACTACAGAGTACTAATGGTTTTGGTGCAGTCCATCTACGTGCTGTTTCTTCATTTTGCTGAACAGTGAACACATGATGTATAGCAGTGGGTATGATACAGTTATGTCATATCTATTAGAGGATCTTGGACGCGATTTTCGCCATCGTTCATTTGTTCTTGCAGTCTTGCACAGTTGCACCTGCTCTTGCTTAGGACCCCTTAAATCGCAGGGTAGAAAAATAGAGGAATAGAAAAAACACAGGATTCCGACAGAAATTGAAGTGTAAAACAGAGGATTACAAAACACAGAAAAAACACAGGAATGGTCGTTTGATTGGAGCACAGGAAAAACGCAGGAATCGAATGAGAGAGATAGACTCAAAGGAAATTTTCCAAGAGGTTGGAGCTCTTGCTAAATTTCCTCTAAAATCCACATTCAATGTGCCATTCCATAGGAATTTCATAGGATTTGGAAAGCTTCAATCCTTTGAATAAAAGGGCCAAATAGGAATATTTTCCTATAGGATTTGAATCCTATGAAATTCCTACATAGATCTTTTGATTCAAAGGGGCCCTTAGAGTTTTTACCAGTCTCTCTCTCTCTCTCTCTCTCTCTCTCTCTCTCTCCTTCCTGATTATCCTACTTAATTTTTGCAAAAGAACTACTACTGTAATTCTGGTTTTGTCCTGTAGCAGCACCATTACATTTACTAGTAGTTTTTATTCAGTGAGTGCAAAGAAGGAATCGATGAATACTCCTATATAACAGCCAAATGCGGCTAAAGATTATTTTACATAGATTAAACACCATTAGAACCATAGGCTTATTTTAAAGGAACGTTTTTTAAGCCAAGTGGTAAGATAGAAAACAACCAAAAGATTTGCTTCAACAGAGAAAGCTAGCATGAGCTGAGCCAGCAGCATGGCCAGCTTGTCCTCACATGAACAGTTAGTCAACCCCAACAGGGGACTCCCGTCCTATTACGAACCGTGGCAAAGAAAAAAAATATACTCCATCCACACACCACACCATCTCAATATATCATCAGTCATCTTCTCCCTCTCCCCTACGGTGTACACTCCAGCTCAGAATTTACTGCACAAAAATTAACCACCTCGTGCAGTCACACCAGCCATATATGCATGCATGCTATGCTTACAGGGCTTACATCTGCAACTCTCCCCTCTGACATGATCCCCCCAGGGATCCAATCTGAACATCTTTGCACCCATGCATGAAGCCATGAAATGCCATGAAAACCATTCACCCATACACCCCCCACACACACATACTCCGTATAACTAGTAGCAGTGTGTAGCACTGAGCCGCACTGGACTGTGCTGTACATGTTGTTCACATATCTTTCTCAGGTTTCTGCTTTCCTCTTGCACTGTCCGAGCTTATTTTACCCACACACTTGCCCTTACACCTCTAATTATCCGCTTCACATGCTCGCTCTCTTCTCCCTTCTCACTGTTCATGTCGCTCTATCTTTACTCGCCATTTAATCGTTGCCTCGCGCTCTCACATGGCGCCCCATTAATATATAGCACCACTAGCTAGCTCCTCTTCCAGCTCCAAGCTCCAAGAACTCAACTCACTCTCTCCGAGCTTAGCTCTCACTGTCTCGCCGCGCACACGTCGCTCTCACTGGCTTAGCTGAGCTGAGCTGCATTGGCTTCTGCAGTGAGTGCAGGAGTGCAAGGCTATTGAGCTTAGAGGTACACCAGTGGCATTGTCCATGTCGGGCAGGTCGTCAAGGAGGGGCAGCTTCTCGCTGCGGCAGCCGCCGGTGGTGGACATCGGCTGCAACTGCCGCCGGCCGAAGCTGTTCTCCATCTTCTCCTCGTCGTCGTCCTCGTCGTTCCGCCGCGGCGGTAGCAAGCCCAAGTCGCCCAACGCCTCCTCCACGTCGACGACCACGGCGTTCACGGCCACGACCGGGGGCGCCGGCACGGCCACCTCCACCGACTCCTCGTGGGGCCCCGCGTCGTTCACCACCAACTCGCTGTTCGAGGAGCCGGCGGCGGCGCAGCAGGAGCAGGAGCAGCTGGAGACGAGGCGGAGGCGGAGGCAGCAGCGTCGGCGGCGGAGGCGGGCCGGCGCCACCTCCTTCGCTCGGGGCGGCGATGTCGGCGGCCACGACGACGAGCAGCAGCAGCTGCAGGAGCAGGCGCCGTACCGGCGCGTGGCGAAGGAGAGCGTGGCTGTGGCGGTGGAGTCGGCGGAGCCGTACGAGGACTTCCGGGAGTCGATGGTGCAGATGGTGGTGGAGAAGGAGATCTACGCGTGGGACGACCTCAACGACCTCCTCCATCAGTTCCTCTCCCTCAACTCGCCGCGCCACCACCCTCTCATCCTCCACGCCTTCGCCGACCTCTGGACTCGCAACGGCCTCTTCTCCCCGCCGTCCCCCTGCCAGTTCTAGCCAAGTTTCAACGCGACGCCACCATGCACGCCATACTTCTTAATCGTGTTAACCACTAGCTATATTACTAGTGTACTTGTTACCAGCGCTATTGATAGCGTGTCTGTCGCCTCAGTTTGTTAACTATCTACATGGTGTACGTAGTTCATGGTTGGGAGAGGTTATTAACAGAGATCCCAGCGTGATGTGGTGCATTTCCAACGGTCTTCGATCTGCTGAAACCAAAGCACAAAGACCGTGCAAAATGCACCATTAATTAGCTCCAGCAGCTTGATCTGCTTGATGTAATGACACGCCATATGCCCATGTACGTGATGTGTAATGATGCGCGCGCGTGGCGCCGTGGTGGTGTAATCATATACTACTTGTGTTTCATGCTAATTAAGCTAGTAGTACTCCCTATCTATACTAAATTAGCTGAATGCACTGGTCACGTACTGCTCGCTGACACCTGAGCTTATTAGTGTACTACGCTTGTGCTTTTGTTGCGATTCGCTTGCACGACGGCGTGACGCTGTCCTGTCCATGCACGCGCCTGTGTGACTCGTTGTGTGTCTGTGTGCTGCGCGTATATATGCCAACCCGACCGCTTTCCGTTTCGTGTGGAACAAAGGTGAGCGTTAACGTATACGCGCGCGGTCGATGCGACTTGTTGAGCCGTGGGGGCTCAGCTGGGGCGCTGAAGGTAGTACAAAAGCTGCCGCTGCGATGCTGCTTGTTTCCTTGTGGGGTTTCATCATTCGCTGGCTCGACGTGTTCGGTTGTCTCGGTGTGCGTGGGTGGGTGTGGGCGCGTGACACGCTGACGTGCTTACTGTTGCGGCGGGTGAGATTTGATGGAGAGGGAGATAGCTCGCCCGATCGACGTACGGCTGGATCCTTCCGCGGATCACGGTGGTTCAACCGTGCGGGCTTCACCGGCGGATGCACAAGTTTTACCCCCTGGCTTGAAATCCAAACCCGCATCATCCCAATCCTGGCTGCTCAGTTGGGCCCTCGCGACAGAGCCAGCGATCGATCCTACCGAGCCCAAACAATAAAGAGCTTTTTTTGGGTTACGGGTAAAGACTATTTTATGGTTTTTCGGCGGTCAACAGTGATGCACGCTGGCAGTAGAGCCCGGACTACCGTCCATCCGACAATCCCATGAGTGACCTGAACAGGATCATTTTGATAGTAATCTGAACATGTCTTAAGATTGAAAAATATTCCTCCGTTTCAAAATAATTATTTTTCACCCACTTTATACCACCAACATAAAATAAAAAGACTAAAATACCCTCATGTTTATCAAATCCAATATAATTTCTATTTACTTTATCTTCTCATAATATATTTATCTTTTACTTTCACAAACTTTGATGTAATAATTATTAAAAATAAATTTATTTTGAAATAAACATGAGCCAAAAATAAATTTATTCTAGAACTTAGGGAGTAACCGAGATATTAGTACATCTAGAGCGAGTTTAATAAAAGACTAAACAGAATGCACGTAGATCCAAAAGAAGATTTCATAGAGCAGGTACAATAGCAGACTATATACCTATCGAGGAGAAAAAAGAAGAGAGAGAAGAGCAACATGCTACAAATTTATAGCCAGCTATAGCACGAACTTCAAAACACAATGTGTGTATGACAGGTGGGACCATCTATTAATAATATAGTATATGTTTATAGGTAATTATTGTATAAATTTTGACTATTAAGTTTACTATAGATGATTTGGAGTTAGTAGTTGACTACTGTAAAATTGCTCTAATATATGTCATGTCAGAATTCAGATAGTGTCAAAAAGACACTTAGGTTGAGTACTTTTTGTTCACTTTCTCAATCCATCTATCTCGTTTTTTATGCTCACTTTTTCCAAACTACTAAACGGTGTGTTTTTTATATAAAAGAAATTATATAAGAAAGTTGCTTTAAAAATTATATTAATTTATTTTTTTATTTTTTTATACTCAGTTAATTATATATTAATGAACCACCACATTTTCTGTGCCCGGAGATGGAGTTCAGCCTTAAAGTTACTACCTCTCCTTCATTCTCGCTATTTTGCTCATCCATACAAAAGGTCCAAAACTAACCAAAATGGAGCCTCTGTCGCCAACTGAGGCTGACCGGCTTAATGTACTTGCTGTTAGGCACACAGTTAATCCTGCAATTCGGAGTTACATAAGTTTTTACCGTCCCAGCCTTAAAACGATTGCATGTACGGCGGGCAAGAAAGCAGTAATTATTAGATTGTCCAATTGGACGACGCTGTACCTGTTGTTGCGTCCTCTCCTCTGGTTAAGAAACTTTATTAAGATGTCATATACTGTGCGTGCATGGTAGAGCCTGCCATGCATGCAGCATGCATCGCTGGATCAGTCAGCTGGTGTTAAGCATAGCTAGGGGAGCGATCGATCGACGATCAGTACGTTGGGGGGCTCTGATTTATGGTGCCACAGTAAAACTTGAAGTTGCACTGACACGCATGCACATGCAATTGCATGATCATATTCATAGCCATAGAGTATGCAATATTGCTGCGCCAGATGCTTTCATGCACCCTTCAAATTCAAGCAAAACACCAAGCAAGCATACATGCTCCCGGGCTCCCTTCTATATCATTCATTACACGGGTACTGAATTACTGAAACTTCAAAAATATAGGTGTAGTACTAGTACCACGTAATTTATTTCTTGTTACCCGGTTTGTATATGTTGTGACTATTCCAACGAAATTGCACGCGTACACCATACTACGGACGGCAACTCGGCAAGTACTTGGGTAGCTGGGCAACAGATCAGTTCGCGTACAGGCTCAACGACTACGTACCAAACTACATACGTATAAATGTACTTATACAATAACTATTTACTCCATGTTTCTCGCGCAGACGTACTCCATCCGTCTAAAAAAAAAAGACAAACTCTGGGTTTCCGTGTCCAACGTTTGACTGTCCGTCTTATTTAAAAAAATTAAAAAGACAAGTCACACATAAATTATTAATCATGTTTTATCATCTAACAATAATGAAAATACTAATTATAAAAAAATTCATATAAGACGGACAATCAAACGTTGGATGCGAAAACCCAGGGTTTGTCTATTTTTGGGACGGAGGGAGTAGTACGTAATAGTTCTCCAACGGCCAAAAAGCATGTACCAATAGTATAGTATAGTGGAGTATTATATACTATTAACTTTGTACTCTCTCTCTCGTTTTTTTCAAAAAAAAAAGGGTTTACGCAAAATTAGTACTCTCTGGCTAGTCCCCTTATAAGGTTTTTAGGATTGTTCGACTTTATAGAAAAATGTAATATTATTTTTAACATAAAATAAATATATGATAAAAATGTATTCGATGGAGTATAGGTTTAGTAGAACTAATTTGGTTTTTTTATATCGCTATATTTTTTTAATTAATTTTATCAATTTTAAAGAAGTTTGATTTGGAATAAACATATAATTTCCTGTAATTAATATGGAATGGGGGAATACCTAGCTAGTAATCACCAGGTCAAAAAAAAAAACTATTTAACGCTAGAGCTCTACTATATATGATGCTCTGTGTATGTAATCTAAGTACCTGCAGACTCTAGCAGTATCAGTGTACCACCAAGATCGATGATCGGGCACTACTATCTCACATAGTATATACGTACATACGGACCAACCCCATCATCCAGTAGTACTTGACAGTATCATTTTCTTCAACTTCTAAGCAAGCAATGAACGGTCGGCACACATGCATATAGTTGTAAGTACTTTCGTACTACTAGCTACTCCATCAGTCCTACACAGCACACAGAAGTACCTAAGATAACCCGGTCGTGTGCATACTTGCCTGCTGCCTCCCGTGTTTTTATCCAATTCGAAGCATTGTACGAGATGTGTAAAGTATACTACACAACTCTAACATTTTTTTTTTTTTGCATCGCAAGACGACATACGAGGTCGCCGGGTCGATCCAGAGTTTGGTCCGTCCTGCTCGTATTATATCTGCACAGTACAGTACACATGGTAAAATCAGCACCCGCCAGTGAAACGCGATCGACCAACGTACGTACGTTCGCCAAGGCCGATGTGTGTGTGTACATGTGTTTGTGTGCATCCAGAATCGTACAAACGGCCGGGGTCTCGCGCAGCAGCAGCCAGCTAGCGGGCGCATGCATGCACACCGCGGCGCACAGGCTGGGCCGTGGCAGCCTGCTGCCGCGAATGAATGCCAAGTCGTCCGCATTAGCCAGCGGCTTCCGGCTTTCGCAGGTAGGGGCTCTCTCAGGAGTTCGTGGCCCTGACACGGTCAGTGCACTGCGCGCGCAGCGCGCCCACCCGCCGGAGCCCGGCGCCGCAAGCCTTTTCCAGCTGCGGCGTTTTTGTCCGAGCCGCGCGCGCGCAGGGTGTGAGATCGATTCAGGGGCGCGCACAGCGAGCGAAAAGAGCTATACTCCCATGCGAGAACGAAGAGGCCACGACACGTCCATTAATGCTGACACGGTCATGAAAGTGCTCACGGGGAGGCGCCTCCGCTCCCAAGTCGGTCGCGCGCATCATATCGTCGTTCGTCCGGACGTCCGCGGTCGCGCATGGCAAAAACGCCAAAGCGCGAGCGCGATGGAGAAAGCGGCGACGCCGACGTACGGATCGACCACCGAGCCTACCGCCATCACATGTCGTACACATGAAACGAAAGAACGAGCGACGCCGCGACCGCACACGCCTAGTCCGTGCCGTTGCGGTGTGAGGTCGGCTGCATGGATGCGTTTCGTGGGCGCGTGTGTGGGGGTGGGGATCGGAGGATTCGGCCGGTTTGGATTTTACTGCTGTGTTGTTGGCCAGTTCTAATCCGGTTCGGCCTATCTTGTGACTTTGTGATATGTGAGTCGTTTGACGCTTGGCAGGCCGTCGGATCCACACGGGTCCAAAAGCGTCGTCACGAATGGGCAGTGGGATTCACTATCTTGCACCTTGTTTGGTAGAACTCTAACTTTTATATCTAACTTTAGAAGTTGGGTCTGAAGTGGAGTTGTGGAGCTGACAAAAACTAGCTCCACCTCTCTAGTTCATTTCGTAAGAGAGCTCCACCCAGCTCTGCTCCCTTTTTTGTGGAGCTGAAAACTGTTTGGCTGAGCTCCAGGTCCAAAAAAAGATGGAGCTGGAGCTGTGTCAAACAGATCCATATAGTAGTACAATCTAGATCCAAATGAAGCGCATAAAGCCTCTAGTATTAGTAACTTTTTCTTTTTTTAGAAACACAAGTACTAGTATATTTTAGTTTTTTTTTAAGATAATGGAATAACTAGTATATTTTAGTTAGCCTTGACATTGTGAAGGCATGTACAATTATTAATAATGATATCTTAATATTGCTAATTTGGAATATTTAATTGTTAACATG